CGCTCTTCCTTTCGTCCATATTCGGCAAATTCCCCACACCCCTCGCCATCTATTTTTGGTTTCCTCTTATTTTTGTCCTCTCTCTCTCTCTCTCTCTCTCTCTCTCTCTCTCTTATATGGCACGTGGAGAACTTGTATTTAGTACTGGAAGAGAATGGGCTTATATACGTATTTTGTGGTCAAGTGTTTGACAATGGAAGCTAGGTCGCTGTATCATATTAATTATTATATATCTTCCGTATATGTTTTTTTTTTGGTAAGTCAGATTTCCCATGCCCAAGAGCCCAGACTAATCCCGACACATGCATGCGAGCCTGCAACACACACGTGGGTGTAAATCGGTCGAAACCGGCAGGCGAAAAGAGAATCTCCATACTCTGGATGTTGAACTCACGACCTCGCTTGGGAAAGTGAACTCTCAACCACCAGAGTTGGGGGATTCCCCCATGTTCCGTATATGTTACATAATCTAACTTTAATTTGTAGTTTACCAAAAAAAACTTTAATTTGTAGTATACAAAAACTCTATACAAAAATAATTAGAAGAAGATATCTCTCGTGTATCTCAACTCATTCAAACGACAATATATACCGTGACGGACCTAGAAAATTATTTAAGAGGGGCAATTTTACTTTTATTATAAATAATATTAATTTTACGGGGCATTATACAGTTTTATTCAAAATTTTCTATAATTTGTGTAGAAAAAAATATTTTTTAATTGATTGAGTGGGGGCATGTACCCCATACAACTTGTATGTAGATCCGCCCCTGAATATATATATATATATATATATATATACATTGGTACTAGTTGTACAATTTGCACCAAATCATTTATACTAGACCAAAATAAACCGGTCATATGATATTTGAATATGTTGTCCCCATAATCTAAGTTCCTTCTTGAGTTTGTTTGAATATAAGTGGTAACTCAAAGACTGATCTTATTCTGCAACATTGGTATTTTTTGACTGATACCTCCATAACTCAATGACCATTCATTGATTGTATCAAACATGATATGTCATGTTTGTTTTTTTTACCGTTTGCATGGGAATCCTTTTGTAATCAGTCATGTTGTGACACTGGTATTTTTTATAGTATAATATAATCACATTAAACAAAAAAAAAACTAATACAACTACTTTTGTCTTCCTCTTGCATGTACACCGTGGCTATATATGGCCAAGTCTTGCCACTGAATCCGTACATTACATACAATATGGGTCCCATTAATTTAATTAAAAAAATTAATTTCTTTATAAAATATTAAATGTAGTAGATAAATACCCCCCCCCCCATGGTAAAATTAAGGTTATCTCTAGAAAATTATATTTGTATATTACTATGAAATTATATAAGTCACTCTTGATATGCCAATGGAACCGGATAACGTATGAAGAGCCGTACAAGTTTGGCATTTTGAGGAAACTTGTCCTCCACGGTACATGTATAACTCGCTAAACGGGTTTTCTTGGATCTCAACTCGGTAAATGGGCTTTTTCTAATATTATTGGGCTTTTTTTATACGGTATGTCAAAAGAATCCGGATTTAGAATCATTTAGAGTTATTTAGGGAGAATTTCAGTTAGAGAGAGAGTACAACATACTTTCGTGTATCTCCCGTGTGGTAAATAGAATAGTTTCTAATTGTGTAATGTTTGAAGCTAACAATACATTCTAAAATTAGGAAAAAAAGATCCGATTTCTTCTCGTTCAAATAATAATATTTAATTATTAAAAAAAAAAACAGGAGAAAGAGCGCAAAAAGGGGAGGGGCGTAGAAATAGTGGGAACGAACGTATGGTAAAACAAAGAAGCAGCAAAGGCGTATAAATTGGGAGTGCATGGCGAAGGGAGGAGGAATCGTCAAGAGCAAGAGAACAGAGTGTCTCCTTGCTTTTGAGAAATAAAATAAAATATATAAATAAAAATATTTGTTAGGAAAGGGTTAATTAATTAATAAACAAAAAAAAATGGAGGGGAAAATGATGTTGACGGCGTTGCTGTGTATAGCGACGGTGGCGGTGGTGAACGCCGGCGATCCCTACTTCTTCTACACGTGGAACGTATCGTACGGAAACGCAGCCCCTCTAGGGGTCCCACAGAAGGTTATCCTTATCAACGGTCAGTTCCCCGGCCCTAACATCAACTCCACTTCCAACAACAACATCGTCATCAACGTCTTCAACAACCTCGACGAGCCCTTCCTCCTCCACTGGTATTGCTCCCCTTCTTCCCATTTTCTTTTAGGTGACGATGATGAAATGATGATGATGATGATGATGATGATGATGCAGGAGCGGGATCCAGCACAGGAAGAACTGCTGGCAAGATGGGTTGCCTGGAACGACATGCCCGATAATGCCGGGACAGAACTTCACTTACCACTTCCAGCCCAAGGACCAGATCGGTAGCTACTTCTACTACCCTTCCACCTCCCTCCACCGTTTCGCCGGCGGGTTCGGCGGCCTACGTGTCAACAGCCGTCTCCTCATCCCGGTCCCTTACGCCGACCCGGAGGACGACTACACCGTCCTCATCAACGATTGGTACACCAAGTCCCACACCTCCATCAAGAACCTCCTCGACAGTGGCCGTGCTCTCGGCTCACCCGACGGTGTCCTCATCAACGGAAAGTCTGCCAAGATGGACGGCAAGGACCAGCCCCTTTTCACGATGAAGCCCGGTAAGACCTACAAATTCAGAATCTGCAACGTCGGGTTCAAGTCCACTCTTAACTTCAGGATCCAGAACCACAAGATGAAGCTCGTCGAGATGGAGGGCTCTCACGTTCTCCAGAACGACTACGACTCTCTCGATGTCCACGTCGGCCAGTGCTTTGCTGTGCTCGTCACCGCTGATCAGGCTGCCAAGGATTACTACATGGTTGCGTCCACTAGGTTCCTCAAGAAGGAGATGACCAGTACCGGTGTGCTCCGTTACGTAGGTGGCTCGGCCCAGGCTTCCACCGTGCTCCCCAAGGCTCCAGTTGGCTGGGCATGGTCTCTCAACCAGTTCAGGTCCTTTAGGTGGAACCTCACCGCCAGTGCAGCCAGGCCTAACCCTCAGGGCTCGTACCACTACGGAAAGATTAACATCACCCGCACCATCAAGCTCGTCAACTCCCAACAGGTTGTGAACGGGAAGCTCAAGTTTGGCCTCAACGGCGTCTCGCACATCGACACCGAGACTCCCTTGAAGTTGGCTGAGTACTTCCAGATGGCCGAGAAGGTCTTCAAGTACAATGTCATCAAGGACGAGCCTGGAGCCATGATCAAACAATTGACCGTCGAGCCCAATGTCCTCAACATCACCTTCCGTACCTTTGTGGAGGTCATCTTCGAGAATCGCGAGAAGAGCATGCAATCTTACCACTTGGACGGTTACTCCTTCTTCGCTGTCGCGTAAGCCTCCCCCCTCCACCCCCTCCCTCTCCCGTTCCATCCGTTCCTTCTCTACGAAACCTTCTTCTAACTCCGCACCATTTGATTGATTTATTGATTGATTGATTTGAAACATGGCAGGACCGAGCCGGGGAGGTGGACACCTGCAAAGAGAGAGAACTACAACTTGCTCGATGCAGTAAGCAGACACACAGTGCAAGTGTACCCGAAGTCGTGGTCAGCAATCCTACTGACCTTTGACAACGCCGGAATGTGGAACATAAGGTCGGAGAACTGGGAGAGGAGGTACCTGGGTCAGCAGATGTACGTCAGCGTTCTCTCCCCCGAGAAATCGCTGAGGGACGAGTACAACATCCCCCTCAACGCTGGCCTCTGCGGTATCGTCAAGGGCCTGTCCAAGCCTATAATTTACAGCTAAAAAAACTCCCTCTTCCACAAATGGGGATTGTTACCATGACTCTGTACTAATTAACCCTTTCCTTAATCTAAGTATGTTTTTCCCTACTTCCACCTCTATCTTACTGTCTGGAAACTGCAATGTTCCAATTCATTTTCAATCTAATGGCTAAATACTACATCTATGTACATCTCACAATGAACAAGTTCTTGTCTTGCATTGTTCTTGTTTCCGCAGTAGAGAACATTTAAACCTGTTTAGGGATTTAGGAAATCATTGTTTCGAGCAAAGAAGGATATATACAATTGCAAAGAACGGACGATGATTGAAGAGATCGAGGAGCCAGGAGATTCCCGAGGAAGGGACGGTGATTGTCGACCTCATCGCCGACGTCTTCTCTGATATCTTTAAGTACCGTCCGCGAGGATTCTCCTTGAGATCGAAGTAGAAAAACTTACGCTCCACCCGCAGCGTCTTGCTCACAAATTCCACATCGCTGCCTCCTCCGCCTCCCGCCGCAGCTGCTCCACCGCTCGCTCCTCCTCCGCCACCGCCGGAATTCTCCTCCATGAGGATCGGGAACGGAGGAAATTGCTGCAAAATCTCCCCAATTAGAGACGAATCAATGGTTGATCTGAGAGGTAACAAGATCAAACCACGGAATGTGGAAGAGAAGAGCTTGAATTAAGGGATCAAGGCTTTGCAATGGAAGAGGAAGAAGATAGTGGTAACTATCGAACAAGTCGAACACCAAATCCCTTTCCAGTTGTTGCAGAGCCAAATTGGCGTTTTTACACCTATTAAAACATATATAATTAATATTCAATTATATACTTTATTATTTTGATTTAATATTCAATACTATTCTAAATAAAAGGTACGGATATAGATATATCATGCATAACCATTGGATTTATAAATTTATTCAATTTATTTTCTAAAAACCTTAAAACTCAACTATAATTTGCTATAAACTTGTGCATTGGGAACCAATCAGCTGCTTCAGAATCATATGCGTAGAAACAAATATGAAGTTTACTATACATTTAGTATAACAGTAGACTGTCTTAAATAAGACAGGGACAAGTTCATGTCCCCAGTTTTTCAAGATTCTCAAAGCATGATCGAGTCTGACACAACAACGAGTTCCCATGTTGTGGGAAAAGTACACCTTCACTTCCCTCATCTTTGCTTACTTCGCTAACCCGTAGAAGAAGTCACTTCCATAGCCCAAATCCATAAACCCTAACCCCAGCAAGGCACTGAAGCATAAAGCCTCGACCTTCTCCATATCCATGCGAGCTTTTCCTGCAACAAATCCAAAACGAAATGGTCTCAACCATGCAGAATCTTCGTAACCATTTTGGCTGTCGGATTCAAGAAACATATCATAAAACAGCAGGAATCTTCCCAAGCATTTGGATGTGTTTGCATATATCTTGAGAATCTTGTCCTGAAACTGTTTACCTTTCTGGCCCGAGCTTTCTTGTGGCCCGAGCAATGGCGGAATATCATCCTCTTGGTCGGTGAGCGCCAAAGCTCTCTGAGACTTTGGTCGGATGACTGACTCTACTTCTGAATCATGTTCTTTGGAGAACTGTTTGATGTCAGAATCTCGTTCGAACATTGAGATTGAGACTGAGGAATCACGTTCAGAATCAGCGTTATAATCATCTTCCTGTACAGAAGAAAACCGGCTCACCCCATTTTCCACCATGAATCTGTCTGAGAACTCTTCCCTGAGAATGTATCCTTCTTCCTCGTCTGTATATTGACTGAGTTCTTCGTATCCTGCAGTTGGAGGATACAGATATATATCATCTTCTTCTGAATTCACTGCCTTTGGTAAAGTCTGGTCATCTGATTCAGCGGAACAGCAGCAGGGCATTTGAAACAAATCTTTCAGCATCAAGGTCGGTTTAATCATCGGCTCCTCGGGTTTACGCTCTTCCATTCCTTTCGTTTTCTCTGCAGTTTCACGTCCGATGATCTTCTGCGGTGCAAAGTTGTTCAGAGATATTTGTTTCTCCGGGAAAGGAGTGGCCGCGACTTGTTCCTCGCTGTGCTCAGTCTGTGACTGAAGCCAGTTATCGACCCTTGAGAACTCGTGTTCGCCCGTCGTCCTGTTCAGATCCTTCCCGGCATTACAGATCTTGAAATGCGTGTTTGTCAAATCGGAACCCATCTGGAGTTTCCTCTTGTTTTCAGACACAACAACCTTGATCTCACATTCCGACATGTCCTGGCTGTAGATAGTTGCACTATCCGCGTTAGCAAAACCCGCAGCAACGCAAGTTGACTTGGAAATGCTCCTGTCTGAGTTGCACACCGAGTTGAAGTCGTTCTTCTTCACCGGGAAACACACAGATTCAGCTCGGATAGAGCTCGATCTCCATGTCCTTCTCGGTCTCGTTGAAATGGCTGAATCACCATGAGTCACGTTTCGATCCCTTCCCGATTTCTTCCTGCTGCTAACCGTTGGCTTCATAAAACTAGGCAGACGATTTCCGGCATTTCCCGTTTTCTTCTTCGCAGCCTCTTTGTTACACTGTCTCTCTTCCATGATTACATTTTCTTGTTCTTGTTCTTGTTCTTGAGGTTTCCTGGTGAGTTTCTCCAGCTTCTCGTTTAGATTTCTGATGCCTCTCGATGCTATTTGCCGTTCTTGTTCAATCTTTTCCATTGCTCGCTGCAGATTTTCTATCGCTCCTTCCTTTTTCTCTCGTTCTTCCTGCTCATGAAATGTATTCATATGTAAAAACTTGAAGGTGAGCTTGATGATGATGATGATGCATACAGAGTTGTGAATTTCATTACCGTCGATTCGTTTTGTCCCAAGTGGATGTTCTTGGCCCTTGTTGCAAAGTTCAGAGAACATATCGTTTCGCACAAATCGTCTTCTTTCGGGCTGACATGAACCAGCATCAGCGTCTTCGAATCTTGCCCTGAAGATGGAACCGTATATATATATATATGAACTAGCATACGTATTTGTCGTAAAAATTTACGTCAAAACCTCGGAAAAGAGTTCAGTTACCGAGGGAATCTTTCAGAACCTGCGTCAGCTTGCTGTTCCTGTGCGAAACACAAAACCACTCCATAGTTTCAGACAAGAAGATCACATGAACAAACATCCGGAATCAGCCGGAAAAAAAGCGAGATTAACCTGTAAGGAATGTGAGGTTTACGGTGTTGAAGAGCGTAAATGACGTCGCCGAGGGAGGAGAGGGAGAGATTGATGGCTTTGCCTTCATCGAGACGTCGTCCTATGGCTCTTGTCTTTAGGACACGCTCGCTCCCAGCAAGATCCACCAGCCATATCTTGTTCCTTCTCTCTCGTTCCTCCCCGAACCACCACGTCATCGTTACCCGGATCATGCTGTTCATCCGTAAAAGAAAGCTTAGATGAAGATCAAACCCAAAAAAAAAAACGAAAGAGAAAGGTTCAACGCTTTACCAGTGCGACCTGCTCGAAGATGAGTTCGAACTCGTGGAAGCTGTTGATCTGTTCCGACAACCTAATCTGTAAAGCTTCAAGGCATGGTGGAAGTCATTCACTTTGATTGCCACCAAGTTCTCAATCTCTATCTCTCCCTTTGCATCCGCATGAATCGAGATTCTGACATGAAGATGAAACGGATTTCATTACATGCCACGATCGGTTTGAATCGAACAAGGGAAGAACACTCTTTGTCTGTTCATATATTACCGTGGAGGAATGGCATCTTTCGATCTGGTTGCTTGAGGAACAAGGAGGTCTCTGAGGTTTCCCATGTAAATCTCTAACATACTGAAGTTGACGAGAAAGGCATTGTTGCTTTCCTCGGCTTGTTCGAACAACGATCTGATCGCACGAGGAACAGTTCCCGGATCCTCTGGAACACCTTCCTGTCAGAAATTGTGTTGTAAGGACATGAAACATCAGATCTTGATTTCGATAAGAGAAATCGGTTTTTTCGGGGACAGAATCTTTACCATTGTAAAAGTTTTTCCGGTACCCGTTTGCCCGTAAGCGAGAATGCAGGCGTTGTAGCCATCGATGACGGATTTGATGACTGGTTCGATCTCTAAGAAGACTTCATCTGCAAATTTCGAACTATCAAGAACACCGTTCATGATCCTAAACTGTCGAATGATGACGCGACAAGAACGTCGCAGAACGCTATCGAAACGCGAAAAGATCTCGGGTTTTCGGATTTCAGCAAGTGTTTTTTTTACCTTGTGATGAATCCGGTACGAAAACTCTGTCAAAGCTGTAGACTTTGCTCTTGTTTTCCGTCAACCTAATGGCGACGTTTCTTGTGTCCGAAGCAACCGCCGATCCCGAGACTGTCCTGATGGGTCTCACACGGCAAAACACACGAATGTTACCTGAAATGCGATCAATACACACAAGCTTATATATAATCAGAATTCGACGATAATTCGAAATCGAAATCGAGATTTAAGACTTTGGACTGACCTTTAAGGTCCAATAACTCGTTCAGAATCTTTCTTCTTCGCGCGTTCAGATCGTTTACAGAAGCAGTCAAGGCAGAGAGTTCGTCTGTTGCCAGACAACAAAAGGAACAGAGGAAGACAATAAGCAGCGGAAAGTTGAAGTAAAAGACGAATGGAAAACTTTTTTTTTGGGGCATATCCTTAATTAATTACAATTTCTTGCTTATTTAGTTTCACGTCTTTGTAATTACATCATCAAAATCAGTTTCATGGAAAATCTATAACATTTGAGGACATATAAATTGAAAAAAAATGCGAAATGGAACAAAATCCAATCAATCAAGGCATAATTTTCTTGAATAAAGATATGTATTGTAAAACAGCCATTGGATGGATGCCACGTTTGCAAAAAAGTACGGCAACAGACATCCAACGGTTGAAATCCTCTGCATGTAGTAGGTAAATATCCGACCGAGGACAAAACAGAATGTGATCACACGTGTTTCGTCATCGCATTTCCACCCCAAAAACAAAAATCTTAAGAGAAAAATATCCGAAAAACACGACACAGAAGAAAAAAAATGAGAGAAAGGTTGTACCTTTAATGATCTGAACTTCGATGGAAACAGAGTCGTCTTCCTCATCGACACTCAGCTGTTCCATCTGACAGCTTTTGCTTCGTTTCGAAGAAGATGGCGAAGGAACGTTCTTGACGATGTTGCACACCGATTTGACCCAAGCGGAAGTGAAATGGGATTTCAGACCGAGCAACGAGTGGATCGTTTCGGGCAAGTTCCGAACCGGCTTTCTTGTCTCCGTCTCCATTTCCACGGTTCGAACCGTGGGTCGCCGGAAATCTTGAGCAGAATTCAGAATCCGATTACTTGCCTCCGGAACTGTGGAGGGTCTAATTAGGCCGAGAGAGAGAGAGAGAGAGAGAGAGAGAGAGAGAGAGAGAGAGAGAGAGAGATTACAGAGGGTGAGGCTGGCTGAAACAGAGCTCGTCCATGGCGGAATCTGGAGATGGGTTTTCGTAAAGGACAGAGATTTAAGAATGTTTCAGATGGTTAAATGCAAGAATCATATGACTGTTTACGGTCAAAATCTCAAGAGGAGCAAAAGGACTCCTCGGGATTAAAATCTGTTCCCATACGCCCAAACCACAATAATATATAGTCCGTAGAGAGAGAGAGAGAGAGAGAGAGAGAGAGAGAGAGAGAGAAAGAGAGAGAGAGAGAGAGAGTCCGTAGAGAGAGAGAGAGAGAGAGAGAGAGAGAGAGAGAGAGAGAGAGAGAGAGAGAGGAAGCAACTGTCCATATAGAAAATAATTCTTGAATTTTAATGTTCAGGACAGTAACTATTTGTGTCTAGATTTGGTTCTTCTTGTTCAAGACAGTAAAGATTTATGTCTCTTTTAACAAACAAAAAAAAAAGATTTGTCTCAATCTGCGTAATTATGATGTGTGAATGCAAATAAATACCAAACCTAAGCTTTTAAATTCAAAGTATCATCCGTATAATCTTTTCTTTTGGTAATTTTTTTTTTAATTTCCATATTATTCACATTATATACATTGGAGGAAAATGGGTGCTGAATAAACTTGATGAGACTGGTCAAAGACTCAAATTCAACAATTAATATGTTAAATGCACTTGGAAAAAAACTTCCGGGTCAATGAGATTTAAGGTAAATATTCATTTTTCCATATATTATATTTATATATGGATTTTTTTTAATGAAAATGCAAAAAATAGCAATTTATGTAAATAGGATCACATATCTATACTATAATTTTGGTGAATTGCAATTTTTTGTTTTACATGATCTCCAATAATGAAACTCTCCCATGTGAGAGAGCATGAAACAGAATTACTTCATGATTCTAATGATGATGATACTTTTTTTTTTGTTTTATTATACAAGGAGCATGTTATCATGTCTTGGAATCTAATTTATAACACACACATATAATAAATTTATATTCAAATTATGATTTTCACAATTTTTGGAATTGTAGATGAAAACAATAAAAAAAGAAGAAGTGTTAATATGTATTTTTCATTAGAAACTATCCAAAATATCCATATCCATTTATATGGATCTATAATGCCAACCCATATTTTATTGTTCATCTTCCATAGCTATTTTTTTTTTACCATTGTTGTTATGTGTGTGTGTGTGTATATATATATATATATATATATATATATATATATAAATAAATAATCCACTCTAAATCTTAAAAGCTTTGAAAAATCATCGGAAATTAGCATGGGCGAGAAGAAAAGTCTCGCCCTCCTTGGTGGGTCATCCATGGATGATACGATCTCACTTGTGCCTAGCTACTCTATGGTTAGAGTAAAAGTCTCTTCAATGTCTCTTTCATACGTACATATATACATACATACATACATATATGCACATAATAACAAAGATAAGGAATAAATATTATAAAGTTTTTTATTTTGTGTTTGTTTTTTCTGTAATTATGTAGGCATTACATTATCAAGATTTGATTTCAAGGAAATTTCGAAAGAGCAAAAGTAGAAGTTACGGGATCGGACCAAACTGGCTCCTCAACGGTCTTTATCGTCTCACCAACTTTTGTCACCCCAACATGATTTGCCGTATGCAGATCATCTGCTACCATTAAAAATCATAATAAAAATAAAAAAAATAAAATCTTGATCACCACATTTGGTTTATTTTTAGGTTATTTTTTTTAATCAAATATTTCTATTTTATAAAATCGTAATCATTACACTTATCTCAATTTTACTTCGATTTAAATTCATTTTGTGTTCTTTCGTATATTCATTTAAATTAGATCTTAAATAATATCTAGTTATTACTAATTAAACTCGATCGTGTTAATACAATATACACCACAAAAGAGTGTGAACAAAATATAACTATACTTCTTTTATTTGTTGCAAAAAAAAAAGTATGCTGTTAAGACTAATCCATGCAAAGTTGGTACTATACTTATATGTTTATTTATATATTTAAATAATTTTTGTTACTTATCCCCAGTAAATATGAATATTTTTTACAAAAATAAATAAATATGAATATTATCATGTGTTTGGAGAGTACGCCCAACATAGACCAATAGATGAACAGAAGATAGTTGTTTTTCAACTTACGATAATGACCCAAACATCTATACATCTTACGATATATATATATATATATATATATATATAGGAATAGTGTTGCTTGGATCAACAAATAACTTAAAACAACAATTATTTTGAAACGGATGGAGTATTTATTATATTTATTTTCCCAACAAAACAAAAACACTGTTGACAATATATTTAATATTTTGTTTTAGAATTTAAGACTTTATTTTCCCCAAAATAACTTTCTATTGAGTTTTAATTTAATAGAGAATCCCACTAGATTTCCAACCCACCACACCACTCCTAACAGTATATTAATTAAGACAAGATTGCGATCCTATGGTACATACGTATATGTTACAAGACTTTACTTGCATATTATGGATAATAATATTATTTAAATTATTAAGTTCGATCGAGATTGACATTACACATGATTCCTTTGAACCATATTTGAAGTTTTTTTTATTATCAATAAAATCCAGTTATCCCATCTGAATTTTGGATTTAGATTGGTTTTTTTTGGTCCGTTTTAGACAAAAATAATTGTTTTTCTTAAATTGTCATATATGCCACGAGAACTTAATTCATTTCTTATTTGTATATTTTAATGTTATAAAATAAATATTACGAAGGAAAGGGATCCAAAAGCACATGTTTTTTACTCCAAAACCTAAAAAAAAATAATCTTAAAACCGGACATTGACAACTGTTTATCAATCGACCGAACGGAAGTTTTGTGAAAAAGTATGTAAAGAAACGATAGATACGACGAAACCTGGCTGGTGTGTCGATGCCCGCCATACAACAGAGCCCTGATATCAATATACATACATACATACATATATATATATATATTTATATATATGAACCTCGTAAGTGCACCATTATTCTATACGTACGTGTCAGATTTCTGAAGCTTGGCAACGTTAGCTTTACTGGGAATCCAAAACACAGAATTATATACCATTACACATATACACGCGCATATATATATATATATGTGTGTGTGTGTGTTTAAAATATGTGACATGAACCGATCTAATTTCATTGAAAGATGAGCATATTGTTGAGGAGTTTGTGAAAGAAGACGGTCCAAGTCCTTGGTTCAAGAGAATCGAAGAGAAAGGGCATTAGAGAAATAATGCTTGAAATGAGAGGATACATCAAATTTAGAATAATGCCATGTGTGTCTTTTTTTTTGTGCGTATATATACGTAAATATATATTGGAAACCGATGTCTTATTTTCTTGGAACTTGCGAATCATTCGTTTTACTAAAATAATTATCATAATATTCAAATGAAGCTAGAATGATGATTCAATTGATTTTCCTTGTAAAAGTTTACTAATTAATATACTACGAATGGTGATAATTAGTTTTTTCTATATATTTTTATTTTTATATTAAAGAGTTGTTTTGATTGTAAAAAAAATGGAAAATGATATTGGGAACTGTGTATGTATGTGACCCATAGGTAATTCATTCATCAATATATATATATATATATATATATATATATATATTGTGACGAGTTTGAGGGTGAAGATAAGCACATAACGTGTGCTTTGGAAGGGTCACATGTCATATGGCGCATGCCGCATACTTCTTGTAATTGCGACACTGCAACAATATTACAATTTCGATGGACCACCTTCCCCGATTAAACCTTATTTATAATTATAACGTATGACATTTATCAAGCGAACCTCTATTTATTAATATTTTAACAAATCAAACAAAATAAAAAAGAAAATATAATGTATCGATCCATTAATTACGACCGGATTTAATTTTAACAAAGTGAAGTTAATTAGCAGCGGTTCTATTTTAAAACAAAACATGGGAATGGATAACCTTTTCTACATCTTCTTCTGTCAAACTATATGTATCACACTCACCTCCTTTTGATGTATATATTTTTCTATATGATGAGATTTTATACATACATACACACACACATATATATATATATATATATATATATATATATATATATATATATATATTATATATATATATGTATATGTATAAACACCTGCATACGCCGAAATAGCATATTTTTGCATAAATCTAATACATGTATTAAATCTCAAGTGTTATGAAGGAATATATCAATATATATATATATATATATATATAATGTGCATATATATATATATGTATGTATGTGTGTGTATGTAACTCACCTCATAGATTGGGAGACTGTGGCTTTGGTGTGTCACCTAAGGCCTAGCATGCGCAACAGAAAGAAACGTGTAGCCAAGGACAACTTGCCGATCCATACCATCTCTTATCATGTTTTTTTTCCCTCATTTACTTATATATATATACACACACACACATACGTTCTTGATTTATGTCAAATCTTTTGTTCACTTCTTCAAGAACATGTATATAATTAACAATGATGATGATGAACAATATCAGACTATATATATAATTCAGAACAAAAAAAAGAAGGCTCGGCAAGTCATCCTTGGCTGCACGTTACTTTCCTCACATACACGTTAGGCCATAGACGAGGAGGAGGACCCATATAGGAACCATTCACTCGAGCCCAATTAAACATATAGGGCATAGCATTCACATATGTACATAGGTACCCTAAAAGCCACATGTGAATATTGATTGCATTGCCACTCTTCAAGACATTGTAATAGTGTCTTGAATGTAACTGCAGATGCAATGGAAGAGTGATTTGCTTGGAGAACTTACAGATGGCTCGCAAGGGTTTATATATAGGGGGGTGGTGGAGAGAGAGAGAGAGAGAGAGAGAGAGAGAGAGAGAGAGAGAGAGAGAGAGAGAGAGATGGAGGAGAGAAATTCTTAGATGCTATCTTTGAATCGAACATGTTTTGATTATCTCTGGCCATGACCCCAAAAGCTAAGAGAGAGAACGAAATTAAAAGGAAAAAAAAAAGAAAAACAGAGAATATATATATATATATAATATGAATATATATATATAGTTCAACCAAACAAAATAAATGAATATATATAGAAAAGAGATAAGGTTTTGCAGTTAACAAAAAAAAAAGATAAGGTTTTGCTCCATGCCTGTAAAAATGTCTTCCCACTCTGGGAGAGCTTTGAACCTGCAAAAAGCTATGCAGCTTTAACAGAGAAATGGGCCCACATGCATAAAAATTGCTAATACTAATGCAATTAAGAATATATTTATACATTCATAACCAAATATATTATGGCCTTTAACTGATTTCATCAAAATACTATTGTCTTCGCATGCATTCATGTATGTGTGTGTATATATATGTAATCTCTGGTTATCTCCCATGCTACATATAGAGAAATTTAGTACTTAGTAATATATATATATATATATATATAGAGAGAGAGAGAGAGAGAGATCATTATAAGTATGGATTAACTTGAATTGTATATTCTTCGCTTATTAAAGATACTCTCTCTAATTAGAGGTGATTAAAACATTGTTTAGGGAACATGAACCACTTGCCAGAAACTGGCCTGGTTAGGGCAAGTAGATGGACCATGCGAGTTTCTAATTATAGCACTTACTAAGAACAAACATAGGAAGTGAAATTATATATACATATATATATATATATAGAGAGAGAGAGAGATGTAAGACAAATAATAGTTAATGTAGGTGTACCCTTTTGACATCCCGAAAGGGCACGAGGGGTCACAGGGAGACTGCAAGATTATGTAATGCAATGGTGGAATCTCGTATTTATTGGAAAATGCCAAAGAGGACGTGCTAGATTAGGTCATTTGCGTGGTTGGATTTCCAACTATTCATATCTCGAATATCATTCATACCACAAAAGTTATATATACATATGTTGAATCCATTTCAAATACATAATTGACCGATTTAATTTTATTCTTCTATGTGGTGTTTATATCGAATATTTTTCTATCATTTTAAAAAAAAAATCAAGAACAAAACATTTTCAAATATTATTTATATAAAAATTCTGCATTGAACTGGTGGCTTGAATCCCTAGGGGGTGGTGGAGGAGAGATCAGGGAATCAAGAAAGGGAGACCCAAGGTCAAAAGAAAGAATGGAGGCATAAAGAGAGGTGAATCAAAGAATTTCAAAGATTGGGCAAATATATGACAAACCAACAAGAGCCAAGAGGAATAAAGGCACGGTCCATCCACAGTCCCCCTTATATTATCAAATAATATACTTAAATACTATGCTCCCCTTATATCTCTTGGCCCTTTGGCCCTTCATTCGCCCCCAACAAATGATACAAGTGACAGACACAAGAATCAAGATGATACTGTTACACGAACTGTTTTATGGGTGTTGTTTTTTGTTCATTCTTCTCCATTATTTCACAAAGACTCAGCAACAGACAAATAGATCTTCTTACATGGGATTTAAGACATGCAGTTTAAGTGAATGTAAGAACGGATACAAAGTACCTCCTTCCACCGAGCACAAAGGCAGCAGAGCAGAGAGCAAAAAGGTCGGATGGCGAAACAAACTCAAGATTCTTGAGGAGTCTCGAACCTGGCTGGTGTGTCGATGCCCGCCATACAACAGAGCCCTGATATCAATATCAGAAGCAATACAATTCCCTGTCCCGGAAAAAAAAAACGAAGACCAGATCAGAATCTACTCTTCGACGTGGAAGAACGTTAATTTTCAACCTCGAGTCATCTTACCACTAGGACACCCTCCAGAAGCGACGCCTTGAATCTGCAGACTTCATCGCAAGTTGTAATGGCATTAACTGAGCTGTTTCCTGCAGCACTTTCTGCCAGAAACCTCTGGAGAGTCTGGTAAGAGGTATATCCATAGGGATCAGAAACATAAAGAGCTGCATATTTATCTCCAGATTGCTCCACTGAACTGACGAGTTCAGAGATTATTTCACCTGCAAAATGGTTCAGCAAACATTGAATGCTCACCCTCAGCTAACTCAAACAAGTATCCAAAGGGTAGTCTCCTATTGCAACCATGTTCCGGACTTACCCTCTGAATGAGACTGGTCAGAGCAGATCACAACCAAGTCTGTTTCCCCTTCTCTTCTCTTTTCTCTTCTAGCAAGCAAATGGTCCTGTCCATTATTTATGACAAACAGTAAAAAGAAAAATTTCAGGGGCGAGAGGGAGGGCGAGACAAAGTACAAGATCATGCAATACTATATATTGATGATTTTGATCAGGAAGTCCAAAAAACATCAAAACTATCAAAATTTACTTTGAAAGACTGCAAGTCTGCCAGTTTCTGAATCCTTCCATCCTCTACAAAGCACGACTCTGAGAAAACAACATTGCTGACTCCTAAACTGTTAGCACACGATTCTTTGAGTCCTGAAAACAACAAATTTTCCATCCTTTCCTCCTCGGGTGCAGCAATATATGGGAATGCCAACGAGTAGTTGGAAGCTGTAAACAGGTTCTGTTCAAACAAGAAGTGCTGCTCTATGAGAAAACTGCACCCTAGAAGCAAGTTACGATTTACATAGAAAGGTGAATCGGAGTTCACCTTCAATGTGCCAACGAGGGCTGGGTCAGAGTTCCGCTTCAGAGTAATGTCGGAAGAGAGTAGCTGCAGGAGACAGAATGTTAACAATGTACGAAAAACACATCAGCCAGAGAAATATCTTCAGACAAGAGATGCAGATCAGAGGTGCTTATTCTTGCAAAACTAACAATGACACAGATTCAGTTGCCAAAATATCGACAAGAAAATCAAGAACTTCAGCGTCAAATATACCAAAGCAAGGTAACCATAGTTCCCACATCATTCAGCTCATTACATATCAGCCATGATGTGTCACTCACAGATAGATATACTTCTTACCTGTCTGCCAATGAACACGAGCGCAATATCAACAGGACCCTGAGATTTCCTCTCCGAGCACTAAACAAGGAGACAGTAAATAAGAAATAGGAAAACCAAGCGAAATCCAGAGCTTTGGATAACACTCGTTGGAGAGAGAGAGAGAGAGAGAGATGAACAGATGAATAAACATACCAAGAGGTTTGACCATCCTCCTTGAGTGAGAACAGAATTTACAAGATCTTTCGCAGACATGACCTGATAATTTACAGCCTCACCCAATTCACCATCAGGCCTGCAGTTTCTCAATGTTGAGAACCATATACCGAAATTGGATCAGTAATCTTAGTGGCAAATCCAGCACTCTGAAATATACGCCTCTTCAATTCTCTCTTAAATTCGGACCAAAAGACTGAAAATTTATCGTTTCCTTACCAGAGAACCCACATCAGAACCCGGAAATCACAATCTAGAGCACAAAATTCCGAAACTTCTGGGAATAGAGTAGAGAATGATGAAGAGAAAAGAGACGTAACTGGAGATGCGGAGACCAGAGGAAAGCAGGAACGGTAGAAGGAGAAGCCAACCCCAAATCTACGTAAGAGACTACGACCAGAGCTGCGAGCAACGTCGCCGCACAAATTCCCATCCTCATCGTCTCCGTCGTCAAACAACCCTGCCGGAAAAAAAACCAATCCTCAGGAAAAATCGACTCGCGATCGAACAACATAAAACATAGACAAAGAATCTGAAACAAAATCTGGTTACCCAGAGAGATATATCCAAGGGAATCGATCGGATCAATAGATTTTCAGCTTTCCAGCACGGAACTATCGACGAACTAACAATAGGACACCTTCAACCTCCGATGCCCAAATCTGTGTTCGTGCTTGACGAAGTAGGACAGCACGAATGCGCGATGAAACAAACGACAACGTTTAAGAAGTACTTTTATAAACCGGACCGGTTAAGTGAACCGACCCATTGAAATTGGGCCTTAATAGAATCTCCGGTCCGGCCCAATTTTGAAGAGGAGCCTGAATCGTCGCTGGGACATATCAACCGTTCTTTGTCATCTCCGGCGACAAAATGCCCGACGAGCCAGGGTTCGTCGTTTCGAATCCCGCCTGAAAACCTCTCCAAAACCCTTGCCATCGAAGCTGCGGAAGCAAGCTCGGTAGATTTTCAGAGATGGGAAAAGTCAAGATCGAAGAAGATTTGGAAGGAGACCACGTAGACTCGACCGACTACTACTTTGAGAGGATAGGCGAACCTATCCCTATCAAGCAGGACGAGGGCCAATTTGATCTCGAGAACCCGCCGTCGCAGCCTCTCGCTGTCTCCGAGCGCCGAGGCGTCGTTTTTGTTGCCCATACATCTGGTTAGTTTATTGTTGTTTAAGTTAGTAGGTTGGTGGTGAATGTTCGTGCCTGTGACCGTGTATTCTGTGTGAAATTAGGGTTTTTTGTTGCGAGGACAAAGGATGCCATTTGTGCTGCCAAGGAGATTACGGGGAAGAGTAGTAAGTCTTCAATCCAGGATTTGAGCCTTGTGGATGTTCCTCTTGGGAACGTTCGTATTCTGGCGCTCTCAGCTGACGACTCGATTCTCGCCGTCTCTGTCGGCGCTGAAGTTCATTTCTTTTCGGTGGATTCGCTTCTTGAGAAGGTATATACAGCTAACCCTTTAGATATTCATGGTACTCTTGTCGCTGGTCTTACGACCTCTATTTTATGACAATAGTTTTAATCAGTTCCAGTTAGTGATCATCTCTTGTTCGTTTTTGTCTTCTTCATCAGATTCATCACTGTTGTCCCTTTTGCTTCAGCCTTCATTCTGAGTTTATTTTTTTCCTGAGATTTTTTTTCTGTTTAATATTAAGATGCTCAGGCCTGCTG